CCATGCGGGCTCTGCATTTACGCGGCATCCAAAACGAACCACATAGAGACTCCTGGGTGGGGAGGGGAGGGATGGGCAGGACCAACCAGGAGTGGGATTTGGGGCTTCACAAACCATGCAGAATGTTTGCTAGAGCAGTGGTCCCCAACCTTTTTATCGCCACGGACCAGTCAGCCTTTGATAATTTTACCGTGGCCCGCTAAGCGCGCGCAGTGGTGTGGAGCGTTGTTCGCGACGACACATTGATTGTTTATATATCAGATTGTTTTGATTAAACTTCCCTGGAGCCTTTACGCACGGCCCAGGAGCTTTTGCGCACGGCCCAGGAGCCTTTGCGCTGCAGCGATCATGTCCCCCGGCCGCTGCAGCGATCATGTCCCCCCGCCGCTGCAGCGATCATGGCCCCCGGTCGCTGCGCGGCCCGGTGCCAGGTACTCCACGGCCCGGCACCGGTCCGCGGACCGGGGGTTGGGGACCACTGCTCTAAAGGACGAAAAGCATAAACTGCCGCTCTGGCTTCCCCAATAGAGCCTTGTAGTTGTCACCTTCAGATGAAAAAACACTCATACTTTAGCTTGAGAATCAAGGGCAAAGGACAATGGGCATATTGCTAAGCTGAACCAGTGGTTTTAAACATAAGCAAGATACCTTTTATAATTGACAAGAAGCAGTTTTGCAGGATAAACATAACAAAATCTAATTCCTAAATTGCATATTTTTATTTTAAACAGTGTACATTATAGTAAATCTTAAATAAAGCAGTAAAAAAACAAAAATGCAACAGTTTTACCCCTCCTCCAGTTATCCCACTTTACCATATGGGTGAGATTCTATTAGACAGAACATGATAGTTACTTTAACAAATTTCTGAAGAGGAAATAGAACACTTCATTACCCTGCTCCATTTCTTGCTACCACCAGCATTTTACTTCTCCGCATTGCTACTATTACCCAACTCTTGATATTTTTCAAGGACTTAAAATAACAACTACAAAAGTGTAATCTAGCTTTAAGATTATGGTGTGCTAATAAGAACTAATTCATGCCAAGTGATCTTGAGTATATAGTAGACCACTTAGATAATCCATTCCCCTGTTAGCAAGAACTGTTGATTTAATGCTTAGATAACAATCTCTGTGATCAGTTTTTCTTAACATACAATATTCAAGAAAGGTTCATGAATTCTATCCTACCTTCCATATCATCCATACCATTAAGCACAAGCATTTATTAATGCCAATTTATAGCTGAAAGACAGAAAGTACTCTTCTACAAACTTGAATCAGAGTAAAAAAGTTGTCAATTGAATAACAAAGTGTAATTTTATAACTTTCCAAAATATGAACATAGAGTTGAAGCAAAATCTCTTGGTACCAACTATTCAAAGACATAGAGTGCATATAATGTACTATGTGATTTCATTCTATTATAATAGAACATAAATGAAACTGTACCATTAGTAACAGGATCACCATTTCCTCGGAAGCAATTAGACCCAGGTTAGTTTCTAATTGACACACCACCTCCGTTTTTTGAACAAGGAAAAGCACCTCTGCTATGTTCCCCACATTACTGCACTCATACGTATCTTTGCACATTTTATTATATTTTTAGACATAGGGAAGTACCTCTTTTGAAATATCATCTGTTCTCAAGCAGTGAAAAAAGGGAGTCGCTTGTTCTAGGTGAAAGCATATACTTTAGAGGCTGCATGATGCAAGAGAAGGAAATGGATCTGTGTGTCATCTGGGAAATCTGGAAATAAGAAAAGAAACATTCTAATCAAAAAACTACTTATAAATCTAAATGTCATTGATTTGTACCACTGTAATTTATAAGAAAAACCCACATTTCAAAGAGTTTACTAATAGCCAGTTTGCTTACTAAATTCCACAACCTAATTGTTCAATCAAGTGTGCCTCTCAAGAACAAGCTACATCATATGTGTTTTGCACAGGTAACTATCACAATTTTATCCAGCCTGGTCCCCTCACCAAAAAGAGAATTCTACTTGTAAATTCTCAGCTATTTTGCTGTGCATTTGAGAGAGAGAGACAAGAGTGTTCATGGAAATAGGGATCATCTAAGAAGTAAAGAAGTAGATTTATATCGTCATTTTAGCCATTGCCTATCCACTGTAGAATTAAAGCCTCTTCAGTATGTTTCCAACCAATTCGGTGCTTTAAAATGGGCTTTGGGGAAAACATGGTATGTAACCAGCCCACTTCCATTTCAATTTTTTACTCTCTTGACAATACTGTATACTTTCATTTGTTCTCTAAAGTATGTGCAGGTTTTTCTAGCTTGTCTTGTAATGCCAAGCATGTACCTTTCCATGGCTCTTTGCGCCACTCTTAGCTTTACACACACACACACACACACACACACACACACACACACACACACACACACACACACAACGCCTTAGATAAATCTGAACACAAACCCAAACTCTGGCTTAGATATGTTGATGACACTTTCGTGATTTGGGCACACGGGAAAGAAAAACTGGACAACTTCCTCACACATTTCAACAGCCTACATCCCAAAATACAATTCACTATGGAAATAGAAGCAAACAACCAACATCCCTTTCTGGACGTCCTAATCTACAAAAAATCCAATGGCTCCCTAGGACACACCATCTACCGGAAAAAAACACACACCAACTGCTACTTAAATGCACAATCTCATCACCACCCTGCACAGATCAACTCTGTAGCCAAGACCCTCATCTCTAGAACCAAACGCCTAGCCGACAAAGACCATCTGAAAACTGAATTACACACTCTCACAAACGTATTAATCTCCAACGGAGACTCCCCCAAAAAACCAAGACACAGAACAGGACAACGGCATCGCCCTCCTCCCTTACATCAAAAGCACCACAGATAAAATCAGCAAAATTCTCCACAAACACAATATCAATATCAGTCTGTAACACTGATTAAAAAATAGCCAACATTTTAAGAAACCCCAAAGACAAAATCCAGCTAGAAAACCAAGGAGTTTACAAAATACCATACAAATTCTGCCTGCAACATACATAGGACAAACGAACAGGAGAATAAATGCACACATCGCAGAACACAAGAACACAGTAAGAAAAAAAGAAAAAACTTCCTCCTTTTTCCAGCACCTTAAAGCTACAGGACATGAAATTAATTTTGAAGGAACCAGGTTAATCTCCAAAACTGAACACTTCAAGAAGAGAATAATTATGGAAGCTATCGAAATAGAGAAACACCCCAACATGAATAAACGTGATGATACCTCCCACTTACCAGACATCTGGAAACCAGCCCTAGTCAACAAACGAGGCCCACCCACCACCCAGGCCATTACAACACAAAACAACAATGGACACACAGCCAGCACCAATCAGCACCAATCTACCAATCATGATACAACCACACAACCAATCATTCAACTTACTGAAACAAAGCCAGCACTCCACACACCCCCACCAAGATTTATAGAAATATGGCAGCTCCGACCACGCTTTAAGCCCAAAACCCAGCCTGAAGATGGTGAGTGAGACCTCGTTGAAACGTTGCCAAGACAATCTAAATCTTACATGGGAAAAGACCTGAATACAAGAAGATCAGCATACCTACATTCGTGAAAATCTACGAAAACACACACACACATACACACATTAAAGCCAAGTCTAGCACCTAGTAAGATAAATCCTATCATGAGAATAGTAGCAAGCAAAAGGCTCCATGTGTAGGCATTTTTAGGCCTTTCTAGGTAGCAAAGAAAGACGAGCCAGAGATTGCAATAGCACTTAGACTGTTTCATAGTGCTTTAGAGCCCCCTCTAAGCAGTTTACAAAGTCAGCATATTGCCCCCAACATTCTTGGTCCTTATTTTACCAACTTTGGAAGGATGGAAGGCTGAGTCAATCTTGAGGCTGGTAAGATTTGAACTACCAAACTGCTGGTAGCTGGCAGTCAGCAGAAGTAGACTGTAATACTGCATTCCAACCACTGCACCGCCATCGCTCTTATAGCCTCTCATAGACAAAAGTGAAGGGGAAGCAAAGCAAAAAAAACCCTACATCCTTCACTCTTTGCTTATATCTATTTCCCCAAGGAGACAGCTACGTTGGAATCACACTTCTAACTGAAATGCCTATTCTCTCAAATTGCTATAGGTTGTAAGAATAGGGGATCAAGCCAGAACTGTTGCTCTAAGCTTTGACACATAGAGCATTCTTTTTAGAGAAAAGAGGAATTTAAACTCTTATTCTGTTCTGTCGATTAGGTTTATAAACCATGTTATAGAGTTAACTCTAAGACAGTGCAAATGCCTTCATTTAGACTGAAGAAAGAGTGTCAGCTTTATATCTACATTGAATACATTCATATACTGTGCTAAAATTTATTCATTTGTCTTTTTCAGCATAGCATAGTGTGACTATGTAATTAAACTAAGGTTAGCTTGGTTTTGATAGCAAGCCAGTATGAAATCAAGGTTTGATTTGGAATGCAAACTTGGGTATTTGTGGTGTAATTTCCTTCCTGTCTTATTGGTTTCTATGTCCTAATCCATTAACCAATCTGCAAAGATGCAGGGCAAAAAAGTAGTTTTAAAAGGAAGGAAACCTAGGAATTGTTCAAAAAAAGGCAAGATTCTGGCTTGTGCAATAAAATTAAACACAAACTATCTAATCAAGCTATGTGAAATGTGGCCGTTTTTCTTTGTTGGATCCAACAGATCCAGCAGAAGGGTGTAGATTAGTGGTGAAATCTAATTTTTGCCACCAGTTCTGTGGGCGTGGCTTGGTGGAGAGGTCATGTGACTGGGTGGGAGTGGTCAACTTTTTTTCACTTTTAAAGCATTTTTTTAATGCAGGTTCAAGGCAGGAAAAATGCTTTAAAAAGTGAAAAGAACTTCTGACAATCGCACGGCTCACAGCTGATGCGTGTGATCGCCGGAAGCTCTTTTTTTCACATTTTAATGCCTTTTTTCCTGCCTATTCGCCCGAACCAGCAGGGGAAAAAATGCTTTAAAAAGTGGGGGGAAAGAGTTTCTGACAATCACGCAGCTCAGAAGCTTTTTTTTTACTACCGCTTCGCAGAACCAGGAACAATTGTTCCTACCATTTTGGCCCAACCAGGAGGATTTTACTCCTGGTGTAGATGAGGGGAGAAAAAGAGAATAATTCTGCCTCCAAAAAGAGAGAGAGAGAGAGAGAGAGAGAGAGGGAGGGAGGGAGGGAGGGAGGGAGGGAGAGAGAACCAAATCTTCAAGCTGCAAATCTGATCAATGATCTCCTTTGCATGAAATCTCTTTTGGCCTTGAATACTGAGAGTGCAACATGAAAGGGAAAGGTGAAGAAAAGACCTTCCTAGCAAATTTCTGGGTATCTTTTGCCCAGCACTCAAAAGTACTTAAAGGCCAGAACACAAGTGTCATAAATCAAACCAGCTTCAAAAACATTTAAGAATCATTCTAATGATGAATGAAACTCTTTCCCTCCTTTCTTCTCTCCCACTCCTTCCCAGAACAGAAAGGAAAAGGGTTGGAATGGGATGGGGGGAATGCTGTTAACGGAAAAATACTTTTCAGAGGAGGCCTTGCCAGGAAACCGTAGGCACATCTGCTCTTAACGGGTTTCAGCTGAAACTACTGAAAATATACATGGGGCTATTTATATGGAACAGCTTGTATACATGATAAGATTACAATTTGGAGGATAACAATGGGCTTAGCTATGGAAAAAATAAGCCTGCTAAAACTTCTTTTCTACACATGGCTGTAACATTTTACCACATATGTTGTTGAGGGGGACTGAAATTTGTTGAGAATTAGGAAAATCTCAGCATTTCCATATTAGCATCAAACAAACTCAAGATGTTTCAGCAACTTTTTGCCAAGACTTAACTCCTTAGTTTACTGAATTCCTAGTGAGCGACAACTTTGCTCAATCAAAAAGATCCTGAAGGATATGGGCAAAAACAATTTTAACACGAAAAATTCCTTAATAAAATGTCTTCATTATGTTAGGGTCTGTAAGTATCTCTTATGTTCCATATGGATTAGATTAGATTGTATTATTTAACAATAAAGAATGGAACCATCATTGAGTTGAGCAGCTGCTATGGTGCTGAAGAGAATGCCTGGGTGTCTAAGGAAGCTTTTCTGCTTTTCATCAAAATTTAATAGGCAGACCTATATGTTGCATCACAAGCTCCACCCTTAAAGAATTTGTGTGTGATATCCCAAATGCACTTACAGAATAACAGAGTTGGACGGGACCTTGGAGGTCTTCTGCTCAAACAGGAAACTCTACACCATTTCAGATAAATAGATGTCCAACCTATTTTTAAAATCTCCAGTGTTGGACCATCCACAACTTCTGGAGGCAACCTGTTCCACTGATTAATGGTTCTAACTGTCAGGAAATGTGTCCTTAGTTCTAGGTTGGTTCTCTCCTTGATTAGTTTCCACCCATTGCTTCTTGTCCTGCCTTCTGGTGCTTTGGCAAATAGTTGACCCTTTCTTATTTATAGCAGCCCCTCAGATATTGGAACACTGCTATCCTAGCCCTTCTTTTGACTAGACTAGAAATACTCAATTCCAGCAACCATTCTTCCTATGTTTCAGCCTCCAGTCTCCTAATCATCTTTGTTGCTCTTCTCTGCATTCTTTCTAGAGTCTCAACATCTTTTTTTTTATATCGTGGTGACCAAAGCTGGATGCAGTATTCCAAGTGTGGTCTTACCAAAGCATTAAAATGTGGTATT